AATAATCCCAAACCCTATAAGCTTACCATGAGAATTAGAACCAACAGATGCATAGACTTATTTCAGTGCTTGGCAGAACCTCATTGGCACTAAATAAAGAATGGTAGCTACTATACAGTCTCCTGTTTTTTAAGTCTTTGGGCTGGGTGAGGAGAATCACAAATTGGAACTGAAATTATTTACTTCCTTCTTTAGGTGAAAACTGAGCTACTGAACCACCACCTATGATATGTATATTGAGTCATTTTTTCTAGTAGTTTGGATGATATTCAGCGATTTTAGACATGGTCTCCTACCTGGTGTTCTCTGTGAAAAAAATGGATGGCCTTGTAGGTCAGGAATACAGGCAATGTTCACAGATTGGGGTATGATCAATTAGAAACAACTGGCTGAGTTAATATTCATCAGAGTACCATTTCTGCAAAACATCTAACGTGTAAATAGTAAAGCCTTCCTACCCATAGTCAATCCTGGCATCACCTGGGAGCTTCATATAATGCAAAATTTGAGGCCTATCCCCATCTACTAAATGGGAAGCTGCAATTTAACAAAATTCTTAGGTGATTCATATGCATCTTAAACTATGACAAGCACTGGTAAAGAACAGGCCATTTGCAGGGAAGATATAATCACCAGGTATATATATATCTCAGGTGGGAACTTTCTGTTGCACCTGCTTAATTAAAGCTGAGTAAGGTGGAATGATGGCGAGTCTAACTCTAATGACAGACTGACATATATAAATGCCCATAAGGACACACATTCACGGATAACTGGTTCTCATCTAGGGGTGATTTTGTGCCCTGCACCCCCCACCCTGCCAGGAGACACTGGGCAAATAATGTCTAGAGATATTTTTTGTTGTCACAACTGGGAAGGGCTGCTACTGGCATCTAGCGATTCAAGACCACAGATGCTGCTAACATCTTACAATGCACGGCACAGCCCCCCACAACAAAGAATAATTTGGCTCAAAATGCCAATAGTTCTGAGGTTAGAGAAACCCTAGCATAGATTATACAAACATCCCTGCATACAGGTGTCTTAATTGGAACTATTCATGAAAAAAGGAGCAATAATTTGACTACACAGCTCTGAGGGTGTGAATTTTGGATCTGGGCATTCTGCATCACAAAGTCTGTGCTGCTTTTAACACTGTGAGTACCCTGGTTAAAAGCTCTCAAAATCATTTATCTGCTTTTGCCAGCAAACCCAGAGTCAGTGATAATCTGGATCAGCATATAACATCAGTCAGCATCAATGCCTAAAACCCATTATGAAGCAAAGAAAAATAATGGAAATAGAAAATTAAGGTACTATTTCATTTCAAACCCAATCCAACTGAAGAAGAAAGCAGGCTCAACTTTCTTGAGGACCCTCAACTCCACACCTTCCTTAATCCAAAGACACTAACAGTCTATACCTTCATTTTCAAACATCCACAATCCCTTGTCTGCAATTTTAAAAATATAAGAACACTTTTTTTTTCCCCCAAATTGTGGCAGAATTTCTTATCTGAACACCTCTGGCAGCGAAGCCTGAAGAGATGTAAGGCTATTTATTATCTCAGTTATCGCATGGTTCACCGCAGAAGTATTAGGAGGTGGTGCCACAGGCTTGGTGGGAGCTGTTCTATATGACAGATGTTCTTTAGTGCCTTTCTAAAATTTGAAAAACTACAACTTCGAAAACATTTGGCTTCAAAAGTTTTGGATATGTAATTGTAGACCTCTCAAATGACTAAACTACAGTCAATAGCAAATATTTGCTAAAAGTTTTCATATATATTTGAAAGAAAAAAGATACACACACACACACACACACCTGCATTAGTAATTAGCAGTATAAAAATTAGCTTTCTTATTTCGGGCACTGTGTACAACCAGCCGGACTTGCAGCTTCAAATCTTATAAGGACTTGCTAACTTTGCACAGAAACATCTTTCTTCAAGTCCATAAACTAACCTCAATCTCAACCTTCAAATACTTCTGGATATACGACAAGAAATAGTGAATGATTTAGGGTAAGCCCTTTCACTCTACCAAAAGTGCTAATTCCAATTCAGTAGTATAATCAACCTCTCTCAATCTCTCAATCTCTCTCTCTCTTTCACACACTCTCTCTCTCTCTCTCTCTCTCTCTCTCACACACACACACACACACACACACACACACACACACACACACACAATGTGCAATAGCAGTACTGGCACCCAACTGGCTCTGAGAAGGTTGCATCAGGGCCTCTCTTCTATCCTCAATTCTCACTGGTTGCTGGCCCTACACTCCTGCCTGAGTTGATGGTTGGGGGTACAATTCCTTCTGCATATAAACTCCTATTTCTCTCCCTGACAGGTCTTACCTGACCAGCCTGTTGACTGTCATATGATGTGCTCATGGGATTGGCCCAGGGAAATAGCAGGTTGTTAGGAAACAAGTAGTAAGGAATTACTGAAAGCAAATGTATTCAAATTATCAGTTTTATGTGCCTACCTTGTAAGGTGAGGCTTGGGAACATAAGGGGATGCCAACTGATTTCCAGAAAGCATGAAAAAGATACATGACCTTGCAACCATGATGAAAAAGATGCATCATGCTTACTGTCAAAAACAATGAACACAATGGAAACAATTTAAATTTCTTCAAAATCTTTTTTTTGCCAGTTACAGCTCTGCCAAGATTCACTAATCACCAGTTTTAATGATTTTTTTCACTGCACTGCAAAATAATCTTCCCTCTTTTATATACTAAGAAAATACATGCCCTTCTCATGAAAATTATATCACACATGGTATTATTTAATAAGTTAAAACAAATCCTGAAAAGTTTTTTTTGTGAAACTATTCTTTAATAAAACTCTAAGAATTGTGATGTAAAGAGGGGAAAATACTTCACTGCAATTATGCTCAGAGCATTGTTAAATATGATTCTAATGCTAAGGGTGGGAGGAAGAAGTGCTTTGCCAAAGTTTCTGTAACTGTTTCACCACCAAAGCGGTTTGCCCATGGACTTTACTACCGGGTTGTGAAGTACCATGACCATTCAGGAAAGAGACGCCATGTTTCTCAGGCTCCCAGGTGTCTCAAATAGAGAGTGGGAAAGGGCGAGAAGCCATGGGCAAGCCTCCTTGCCAAGACTGTGGATGAAATCATCATCAACTCCACCCCAGCATCCAGCTCAGCTTCTTCAGAATTTCACAGGCTACAGCCCTCGAGCCAGCCTCCTGTTAGGTTCTCAAAACAGAAAAAATAAAAGTAGATCCTCCCCACAAAACAGTTGGGAATCCTTACATTATACAATTACTTTAAACATGTTTTTCTTGTGTAGTTTAATTAAAGAGTAGATTAGGATCTTAAGAAAGACTTTTCCACAAAGACTCTTCCAAATTAATTTCCTTTTAAAATGTCCTTTCAAACCCTTACACAGCTTTAAAAAAGAAAGTTTTATGGCAAGGATTAAAGACCTGCATTGGATAATTAACTCATTCTTAACAGAAAAGAAATAGTAAATTATGAACTCTTTATGCTTGATCAGAAAACAAATATTTATAACTTTTCATCCACGACAAGTCCTTTAGTTCAATACTTCAGGGATTCCATTCTGTATTAGCTTCTGTATAACAATACTGCAAAGCTGTAATGACATCCTCTATAATCATCCCATTCCCAATGTAATTAAGAGTGCCACAGATTTAAAACTGTGACCTCACTGCTGAGGAGAGAGGTGTGGAAGAGATAATTTATATTGCATGTAAAATGACATCCTGTTATGCCAACAAATTTAAAAAGTAAAAGAAAAAAGTAACATTATAATAGTCATCATTTAAGAGGGAGTTATTATGTTCCTGATCGTAGAGTTTTTCCTCCGTCATTTCTACCATCTGACTCTAATTGATAAACTCTTTCCTATCAAACTGTATGTTCTTCCCACGTTACAAAAATTCTAAACCCCTTCAGATGCCTCTCAATTCCCCTCATTCAACTACAGTCACTATGGGGATAAAGATATATATGAAGTGGGTGATTCCTGGCAAAATGTCATGCTAGTGTAAACCAAGTTTTAATTGGCAGAGAGGTCCATCAGTGAAGCACATAACTTCTAGGCAATGTGAATAAAATTTTATCTCAATTTTATCTCTCTTTATCAAGAAATTGAACACCAAATATAATGTATACATATTATAATGGTTCAAGCAAATCATTTTATCAATATAACAATAACCACATTAATAAAAAAGAACATCAATAACCCTACCAAATGCTTATTATTATGCACCAGCACTATGAGACTCTTAGATCAATTATCTCATTAAATTTTCACAAATGGCTGCTGAGATAATACAATCATTGCCTCCATTTTCCAGACGGGGAAACTGATGCTGAAGGATGCTAAATAACAGCTCAGGTTAATTAGCTGGTAGAGGAGGGCCAATATTGAAGCCAGGTCAACTTGAACCTCAAACTTGTATCTATTTTTACAGCTTTCAGGCTAGACAGTCTACTAGTTCTGTTCCACAAGCTAGCTAGCTATATATGTATGTATGTTTATTTTGAGTGAGAGAGAGAGAGAGAGAGAGAGAGAGAGAGAGAGAGAGAGAGAGAGGAGTTCCCAAGCAGTCTCTGCACTGTCAGCACAGAGCCCCATGCAGGTGCATGAACCGTGAGATCATGACGTGAGCCGAAGTCTGATGCTTAAGTGACTGAGCCACCCAGGTGCTCCTTACACTAGCAATTTAAACCAACTATTTTTGCCTTTACTCTTCCACTAAGGCTCCTGGTGAGCTACAACTGTTACCAATCAGCAAGGGGGTGGGGGCAAACCACCTTGTAAAAGCAAAACAGAGCTGTTTATCAAGATTCTCCTTGCCAGTCAAGTACAGGAATTCCTTTCCATATTCTGTATAGTTGATAAATCTTTCTAAATTACATAAATGTTTAGTCACAGCTGGGAAGTTGCTGAAGTACCAATCACACAACAGAACGCACTCTTGTATTTTGCAGATTAAAGAAGCTAATTGACCAAAAAACTGAGTCCCAGGAGAAGAAGGAGCAAGAAAAGGAAAAGAAGGTCACCGCCCTGAAAGTGGAGCTGACCAAACTGAAGTCTTTTGCTTTGATGGTGGTGGACGAACAACAAAGGCTGACGGCACAGCTTGCCCTTCAAAGACAGAAAATCCAAGACCTAACCACAAGTGCGAAGGAAACACATGCTAAACTAGCCCTCACTGAAACCAGAGTTCAGGAAGAAGAGCAGAAGGCGAACAGACTAGAGAAAGAACTGCAAACACAAACCACAAGGTTTCACCAGAACCAAGAAACAATTATGGCAAAGCTCACCAATGAGGACAGCCAAAATCGCCAGCTTCGACAAAAATTGGCAGCACTCAGCCGGCAAATCGATGAATTAGAGGAGACAAACAGGTCTTTACGAAAAGCAGAAGAGGAGCTACAAGATATAAAAGAAAAAATTAACAAGGGAGAATATGGAAACTGTGGTATCATGGCTGAGGTAGAGGAGCTCAGAAAACGTGTGCTAGAAATGGAAGGGAAGGATGAAGAACTCATAAAAATGGAGGAGCAGTGCAGAGATCTCAATAAGAGGCTCGAAAAGGAAACATCACAGAGTAAAGACTTTAAACTTGAGGTTGAAAAACTCAATAAAAGGATTATGGCTTTGGAAAGATTAGAAGATGCCTTCAACAAGAGCAAACAAGAATGTTATTCCCTGAAATGCAATTTAGAAAAAGAAAGGATGACCACAAAGCAGTTGTCACAAGAACTGGAGAGTTTAAAAGTAAGGATCAAAGAGCTAGAAGTCATTGAAAGTCGGCTGGAAAAGACAGAATTTACCCTAAAAGAGGACTTAACTAAATTGAAAACGTTAACTGTGATGCTGGTAGATGAAAGAAAAACAATGAGTGAAAAATTAAAGCAAACTGAAGATAAGTTGCAAGCCGCTTCTTCTCAGCTTCAAATGGAGCAAAATAAAGTGACGACGGTTACCGAGAAGTTAATTGAGGAAACAAAAAGGGCACTAAAGTCCAAAACTGACGTGGAAGAAAAAATGTACAGTGTCACCAAGGAGAGAGATGATCTGAAAAACAAACTGAAAGCAGAAGAAGAGAAAGGAAATGATCTCCTGTCCAAAGTTAATATGTTGAAAAATAGGCTTCAATCATTGGAAGCAATTGAGAAAGATTTCCTAAAAAACAAATTAAATCAAGATTCTAGTAAGTCCACCACAGCATTACACCAAGAAAACAATAAGATTAAAGAGCTCTCTCAAGAAGTGGAAAGACTGAGACTGAAGTTAAAGGATATGAAAGCCATTGAGGATGACCTTATGAAAACAGAAGATGAGTACGAGACTCTAGAACGTAGGTATGCTACTGAACGAGATAAGGCTCAATTTTTATCTGAAGAGCTGGAACGAGTTAAAATGGAACTTGACAAGTACAAGTTAGCAGAAAAGACAGAGTCCAGCCATGAACAATGGCTTTTCAAAAGGCTTCAAGAAGAAGAAGCTAAGTCGGGACACCTCTCAAGAGAAGTAGATGCATTGAAAGAGAAAATTCATGAATACATGGCAACTGAGGACCTGATATGTCATCTCCAGGGAGATCATTCAGTTCTGCAAAAGAAACTCCATCAACAAGAAAACAGGAACAGAGATTTGGGAAGAGAGATTGAAAACCTCACTAAAGAGTTAGAGAGGTATCGGCATTTCAGTAAGAGCCTCCGGCCTAGCCTCAATGGAAGAATCATCTCTGACCCTCAAGTATTTTCTAAAGAAGTTCAGACAGAAGTAGTAGACAATGAGCCACCAGATTACAAGAGTCTCATTCCTCTGGAACGAGCAGTCATCAATGGTCAGTTATATGAGGAGAGTGAGGACCAGGATGAGGACCCTAATGATGAGGAATCAGTGCTGTCCTTCAAATGCAACTCATCTACCCCCTGTCCTGTTAACAGGAAACTATGGATTCCTTGGATGAAATCTAAGGAGGGCCATCCTCAGAATGGAAAAATACAAACTAAACCCAATGGCAACTTCATGCAACCTGGAGATCTAGTCCTAAGCCACACACCTGGGCAGCCACTTCATATAAAGGTTACTCCAGACCATGTCCAAAACACAGCCACTCTTGAAATCACAAGTCCAACCACAGAGAGTCCTCACTCTTACACAAGCACTGCAGTGATTCCAAACTGTGGCACCCCAAAGCAAAGGATAACCATCCTCCAAAATGCCTCCATAACACCGGTGAAATCCAAAACTTCTGCTGAAGGCCTCATGAACTTAGAGCAAAGCATGTCCCCAATTACCATGGCAACCTTTGCCAGAGCACAGACCCCAGAGTCTTGTGGTTCTATAACTCCAGAAAGGACAATGTCACCTATTCAGGTTTTGGCCGTGACTGGTTCAGCAGGCTCTCCTGAGCAGGGACGTTCCCCAGAGCCGATAGAAATCAGTGCCAAGCATGCGATTTTCAGAGTCTCTCCTGACCGGCAGTCATCATGGCAGTTTCAACGTTCAAACAGCAACAGTTCAAGTGTGATAACTACTGAGGATAATAAAATCCACATTCACTTAGGAAGTCCTTACATGCAAGCTGTGGCCAGCCCCGTGAGACCTGCCAGCCCTTCAACACCACCACAGGATAACCGAACTCAAGGCTTAACTAATGGGGCACTAAACAAAACAACCAATAAAGTCACCAGCAGTATTACTATCACACCAACAGCCACAACTCTTCCTCGACAATCACAAATTACAGTAAGTAATATATATAACTGACGACTCTCACCCTCATCCAGTCCATAGTGATATTATTGCAAGGAACTCAGTCCTTTTTAATTATCCCTCCACATCCCCCAAAAGACTGACTGAACTTGTACTTTGGGAAGGTTTGTGCATGAACTATCCAAGAGTATCTGAAACTAACTAAGTGTTGCCTGCATAGTCCTATCAAGTGTGCACTTACTGTATATCTTTTCATTTACATACCTGTATGGAAAATATTTACTCTGCACTTGTATAAATACATCTTTATGTATTTCATTTTCCATAACTCACATTAATTTGACTGCAACTTGTCTTGATGAAATACTTTAACATTTTAAAGCAGTAAATAATTTGTTATTTTTACCATTGCTTGCTGAATTTTTTTTTTTTTTTGGTCATTTTGTGTTATATTTTTGCATGTATAGTATTTTATTTTCTGTTCAAAAGGTTTATTCATTCTTCCTTAAAAACAAACAGCACCTACTTCCCATTTACAGTCAACTTCTGATCACATGTTATTAGAGGAAGAGGAAGTGGTTCAAATAAATAAAGTTTATGTCTCTTTCTTTGAAAAGTGAACTATAAGATCTCTCAGGAGCAAACTTAACTTCCTTCTTGAGATGTATCTCAATATCCATGATGACCAGTAAAGTGCTTAGCACATATTAAGAACTTGATAAATGTTTACTGACAGTAAGTGAATTATATAATATTAATTTGCTTTTATAAGCACATATGAGCTGATAGTGAAAGTAAAAAAGCTTTGAAATGTGACAGAAAACCAGAAAAAGCACATTTGAGAATACAAGTTACCTTGACAATCAAGAGTTGACTGTATTTCTTCTACATATGAAAACCCCCATAAAACATATATATATATATATATATATTTGCATCCACATCTGAAATCAGCGACTATGATATATACTCTTGAACACTGCTTCAAAGCAAAAGTGTCATTCTTGTCCTTCTTTCCCATCCCATCTTTTCCCATCTTTCTATTCCTAAAATAGTTTGGTTTATTTAAGATATGTGCTTCCTACCTTGTTTGTAAGTCAGCTATACTCAGAAGCTTACAATGTAATTGCATTTCTCCCCAACCTCTAAACAAGCAAATAAAAGCCAAAGATAGCTACAAACACAAGTTATAGAAAAGGCATATTTTTAAAAAAATCATACATTATGTTAGTTAAGGAAAGTTTCCTCTATGATTATTGTTATGCCATTCACAAGGTAAGTGAGAAAAACTCAGCCAAAGCATCCTAAGAATTCTGATACCTACCTTATAGGACTCTTTGAGCATGTTCTGTATTTCCATAGTTAGAGAACAACAGTTTTCAGAGGAATGTTTTAAATTATAAATCTGGTCTCCATGTCACATTCCAAAAAAAAAAAAAAAGGTTTCAGACAAGGTAGCTCGTTAACATTTTCCCTTTTCCAGCCTCTTAACGGTCTAATTTACTTTGGTCAATTTTATTGCCAGTTACTGATTTTAAACACAATCCATTTAGACACCCAGGCAAACTGTGAAGTTCTTTAGAAGTAAAAGAAATCTTCCATGATTATCATCCGTTTCCCTGCAAAATCAATTTCATGATAGCAAAGCAAGGATTTGTTGACAGAAACACTTCCATGGTGATGAACTGCAACACCAATGCTGTGGGCTTGCATCATCATTAAATAAATTTGGATGAAAGCTGAGGCTGGTGATGAATGAGAAAGCTTCTGTTTAAACACATTTATCTTGGGAATCGGCAGTGACCCAACTGTATTACAAAATACATGATGGTCTAAATGGTTTTCAAAACTACTTTTATTTTTAAGTCACCTTGGGCTAGAACTTTAGAAGGAATGGCATACTTAATTTTACATCTTTCAAAGTAGACACTGATAATCCTGCTGCATAAGATGTTTTTCTAGATAATAATGAAGAGAGGGTACACGTAACATTTTGGAGGGTGACAAAAACTAGGAAGAATCAAAGAACAAAGTCTTTGCAGTACTTCCCAACCTTTGTCAGATAATGGCACAAAAAGAAAATATCCTTCCGCAGCACTGGATACAATGGAGAGGTAGAAATGAGCAACCGATAGGTTCCTGTTGGCTGCCCCAAGTGCTGAGGGGGAAGATCCATTTCTGGCACACCTATAACTAACAGAGTTTGAAAACTCTGGGCTATTCAATAGTTCATCCATTTGGTAAGGATTCAATTTCTTATGTGAGCCAGAACAATTCTCTACAATAATGTTAACACCACAGGATCTGTGCTTCATGATTATAATGAACAAATTCTCATTTCATCACATGCTCTACATATTAACTATTAATAGGCATCTGAAATGTAACATTACCAGAAGTTTACTGGACCTCAAGGAACCGAACTTCTCTTAGAGGTTCCTCTACTGGGAGGATTATTTTAGTATAATAATTCATATCAGCATCAAAATTTAGAAATACTTTCATACTCATAACATATATAGATTATTAAAAGTGTTACTAATTAAAATTTATGGTAAGGACAGCATCATTTCTGATAGAAAACATCTTCCTTTTTCCATAAAATCTCACATTTAAAAAAAGCATCTTCCCATTCATACGTTCTAGATCTTTTGTCCTTAATTTCAAAATTAAAATTTTCTATCCATGTGTGTGTGTGAAAGGTTACAGAACTTTCTTTTTAACTCATATATACTCACAGAAGAACCTTGAAAAGTAGGAGAAAGGAAGTGACATTGGAAAATCTTCATATGAAATATGTGAGAGTGAAGGTTTGTATTCTTAGAATAGGTCCATGGGAATCTCACAGAAGATAGTTTTTATAAACACCTGATAAAATCATAATTTCCTTTCATTTCATTTCATCTAAAGTCCCAGCTTCAGAACCAATTTTCATTTTACTCAGTACCTCCAATTCTTTAACTTTTTAAGCTGCAGCATCCTATCATAGATTTAAGACTTCACCATATTCTTCTGTCCTTTTAAGAACAGAGGCAAAAGTTTCCTTTAGGATGCCTCCATTCTCTGGGGCACTGGCAAAAATAAAATCATCACCCGTACTAGGACAATGTGCATCACTGTAATTGGATCTTTACATATAAAGGAAGATCTCTCTCTATACGTTCAAGATGATGAAAGGATTACATAAATCTACTCAGGAGGTCTCTGCAATTACATCTCACATTGCCAAGACATCAGGCAGAGGTCTTCATGACACTCAAAGGATAAAATTATGTTGCATTGTAAGATGGTCATAAAGGGGATATTTCATTAAAAATTATTAGGCTTGAAGCCTAAGGATTTGATGATCTTTATTGACTGAGGTAGAACTCCAGACAAAAGCATGGTTTTGGTAGCTTCTTTGATTCTGAATCTTTATAAAGTGAGTTTCTTTTGAAACTTGTTTGACAAAGCAAGAAAAGATCTGTAACAACATTCTAGTTTACCTATACCTGGTTTCTATTATTGTTTTTTCGCCAAAAATCATTTTGCTTTATAATCCTAAGAGAAAACATAATCAGGCAAAAATGCATGCCCAAAACATTAAGATCTGTGTTTCTCAAAGTAAAATACAAGATACATGTTTGAGACTCCCAATGTCCCACCCAGATTCAAATTGGAATCTGTGAGGGTATGGCCCAGGAAGCTACACTTTTAACAAATTACTCTGCTGATTAGTATGCACCCTAAAGTAGTAATTTCATTATTTTAGAAATTCCTATATTGATAGACATTAGCAAATGTGTTCTGACTATAGTCCTGTTCAGTCAAAATAAATTACCCCTGTCCAAGGAAGTGTGACTGTTCCGCCCTCTGGTGGCTAGCATGACAAACAGCTCATTCCTCAGGTTTTCTTTTTATTCAGAAAAAAGCTTAATAAAAACTACCATTTTATAAGGTGGGAAGGTTCTTAGGTTTATAACTGTAGCACAGCATAGATGCCTGAATCTTCAGTTGAGCAGTAGCAGGCTGTCTGACACCTACAAGCTGTTTCTCCCTGAGATCCCAGGCCCTCAATAACCCTACAGCATTTCTTGGGAATTGTCCAGAACACACATTAAAGAGAGCTGTTTGGATGAACCAAAACAAAGGACTCCATTCACCTTAGAGCACAGTGAGGCAAATGCCAAGAAAGAGCAAGGAAGATAAGTGGTTCAATAAAGTCCCCAACCCTAAACTGCCTTAAATTCATTTTCATTTAGATTACACTCCAAATCCTTTCCTTTCCAACTGATGGAACTTCCACTGTGCAGTGAAATATATCCCCCAAGGGCAACACACTAGGGGTAAGGAATCCTTGGGGAGTCTAGCCAGTTAACTGGCCAACATTTCTAAGTACTTTATCATTTGATAATGAATTAACACCGTTCATATGGCAGCACATTTAAATCTGTCAACATTCTATCAGGATACCAGTTTTTATACTTAAAATGGTGCTGTAAATGTACTCTGGGCTAACCTTTGGCATAGCAATCAGCTATCCTAGGGATAATCTTCTTTTCTTTACTTGTGGCTTCATTTTAAAATTTCACTTATTTTTTAATGAAATTATTATCAGAGAAATAAAATTTGTCTGATTAATTGAGGAAGTTTTTGAAAGCTTTTTTACTTTTATTTTAGTAAGTTCCTTTCTCCCTTATAGCCAAATGGTCCTATATGGTATTTCTGTAACATTACCTAGGATTTTTTTTCTTTTTTTGCCTCTGAGTTTTGTTTTGCTTTTGAAAGCCTTGTCATCTTTGCATAACTAACAATGTATACAGGCCCTAGACCTACAAAGAGTGTCTCACTCTGTGCCATCCCTTAGGACTCTGGAAAGGTGGAATGGGTTCACTGACAAACCACTCATATGTCTCAGTGACATGCAGGATATCTTCTCTTCAAAGCACCACATGGATACAACTGGTGAATACACTGATCATGACACACTGAACTACCTACCTTCTATCCAACATTGGGGCAGATATGGAGACAAAAGATTCACTGTCCCTGAA